GGGTCTATGTGGTCTTTCGGGACAATTATGTGGTCATTCGGGACAAATATGTGGCACTTCGGTGCAACCCTATGTGGCACTTCAGTATAACCTATATGGTCTTTTGGGACAATTATGTGGAACTTCGGTTCAAATTACGAGTTGTTGTGATAACATTAGTGCACAACCTCATAGTACTCAAATACCTAGATTTCTTAATAGTATACCTTGGGCATTTGGAATAAAAACATACAAAGTATAATTATTCATAAATATACCTTTGATATGGAAATTAAGAAAGCTCTTTGAAATACAGTTTGAATAAAACAAATAAGATTTATGTGCATAAGTTAACACTATTAGTATTACCTCACTAAGTCATCGACTTAGCGTGTGTTCTCTCACGCGTAGGTTTGAAGAAGGCTGACGATTGATCTAGGGTTGAGGATAGCATACGTTTTTAAAGATCAGATCAGTACAGATTAAATGTAGGTTGTTGCTTCTTTTGTAAACTGTTGGCATGTATTATATGTTTAATTTAAAAGGCTCTGGTCTATTTTGTAAACCTATATATTTTGTATTTTGTAAACTCTTACCTTTGAGGTTATCTATGTAAATTATTAAGATATTTTGTGAAATGATTTCTAATTTAGAATGGTATCATTTTCTCTATATTGATTGGAATAATAAATTTTAAAATTTTACCTATTTGTGAATTTCGTATGTTTGAAAAGTCAAATGTGACACCTCGGATTTGTATCTGGGTAGGGTACGGGTCAGGGGGTGTTACATTTAATGGTATCAGAGCTATGGTTTAAGTGATTTTAAGTTCGAAATGAAGTCGTCTTTGGTTTTAAAAAGAGTACATGTCAATTTTTAATAAATTTTTTTGATCTGATAAGGGAATCAATATGCTATCTTCGCTAATACCTTTAGTAATTTGATCTTAATAGATTTCGAACTTTGAAGGCTCCCGAAGTGATGTGGGAGATAGAATGGAGGAGAGTAGTAACTCTCCTTCCCCTAGTAGACAGAGTGAGAAGCAGGCACAACCAGGAGTGCCTGTTCAAGTTCAGGGGACATTCTTTCATAAATTGGACGTTATCCAGACGCGTTTCCAACCGTCTGTCTCTTCATCCCCTAAGATGAATATCCCTAAAGAATTAAGAAGTCTGGGAGTTCTAGAATTTAGGGGAGAAGAAAAACAAGGTCCAGTTGCTACTGATATATAGTTTCATGACTTGAATGTTATGTTAGAGAATATCCATTTCTCTGAATTGGAGAAATTGGATGGTGTTGTTTCATTATTAAGGGGTCAAGCCATAATTTGGTGGTCGAATGTGACGATGTGAACTTTAAGGGATCTGGTGAATTGGCCTTTCTTTCTAGAAGAGTTTAAGAACAAATACATAGGGGACTAGTTTATTCGGCAGATAAAGCAGGAATTCATAAATTTAAAGTAATGGAATCACATAGTGTATGAGTTTGAGTGTGAATTCAACAAGTTGAGTAGATTTGCTGTTGAGTTAGTTTCTACAGAGAAAGATTCTTGTGATTAGTTTGTGGAGGGTTTGCGACCCAGATTGAAAGAGTTGTTATTGGCTCTTAACCTCTTTTCCTTCCAAGAGGTGATGAACTGAGCTAAAGCCTTGGAGTGAGCTCAAAATGAAAGGTTTATCGAGTAGCAGACACATTGGAATAAAAGATCTGGTGCATCGTATGGTTCTTCGTAATCAAAGAAGAGTTGAGGTTCAAGTTCTCAACCTCAGACCAGGGCAGAATCCGCAACATCCTCGGGCAGATGATCAAATCCGGGAAGAAAAAGACAAGCTTATTCGGTGGAATCTGGAGTGGATAAGTCGAAGCAATGTGGGAAGAACCATAGTAGAGTATGTAGACGGGTCTCCGGAGCTTGTTTTAAATGTGGAGAGTCAAGGCATTTTATTAGAGATTACCCAATGATGGTTGGAGAGCCTGCTCAGACTGAGAGATCCACAGCTGTGCTCGTAAGAGGAAGATGTCGAAGAAGAGGAAGATGTCGAGGAAGAGGAAGAAATCAATATGAGTCTACTACTCAACCTGAAGTGTGTTCTACCGCTCAAGTTTATAATCTAAAGACCAATGAAGATTGTGATGATCCGGAAATCATTGTAGGTACTTTTTAAATAGATGGTAAATCTGTTTTAGTCTTGATTGATTCGGGATCAAATTACTCTTATGTCAGTAGTAAATTGGTTAAAGAATTAAGTATTCCGTTAGAACCTATTCGTAATGAGATGATTGTGACAAATCCATTAGGAAACAGTGCTCGAGTGAGACAATTCTCTAAAGGATGTCCCATTAGGATTAAGGGAATTGAATTCTCTGCTAATCTAATGGAATTACCCTTTGATGAATTTGAGGTTATTCTGGGGATGGATTGACTTTATCATTATTATGCCAATTTGGATTGTCGACTTAAACGGGTGCAGTTAACAAGTCTTGAAGGAGTGGAAGTTAGTGTGATTAACGAAAGAATCCATCTTTTAGCTAATGTGATATTGGTGATGTCGGCTTAGAAGTTGATGATGCAAGGGTGTCAAACGTACATTGCTAATATAATTGATACAAGAGTTGCAGGAGGTAAGCTTGAAGATATTCCAACAGTCTGAGAGTTTCCAGACGTGTTTCCAAATGATTTTCTTGGGTTACCTCTAGATAGGGAGGTTGAGTTTCAAATTGAAGTAATGTCAGGATCGGCACCAATTTCGATGGCTCCTTATAGGATGGATCCGAAGGAGTTGAAAGAGTTAAAGACTCAGTTGCAAGAGCTTTTAGATAAGGGATTTATTAGACCTAGTGTGTCTCGCTGGGGTGCTCCAGTGTTATTCGTAAAGAAGAAAGATTGTTTGATGCGCCTCTGTATAGATTATCATCAACTCAACAAGGTGACCATAAAGAACAAGTATCCTCTTCCGAGGATAGACAATTTATTTGATCAACTCAAGGGAGCGGCTATATTTTCAAAAATCAATTTATGCTCAGGGTATCATCAGCTGAAAATTCAAGAAAAAGATGTTCCTAAAACGGCGTTTAGGACTCGGTATGGTCATTATGAATTTGTTGTAATGTCATTCGGGTTAACAAATGCACCTGTAGCATTTATGGACTTGATGAATAGAGTTTTTCAACTATACATTGATCAGTTCATGGTCCTCTTTATTGATGACATATTAGTGTATTCTAAGTCGAAAGAGGAGCATGACGTTCATCTTCGTGTAGTTCTTCAAACGTTGCGATATAAGAAGCTTTACGCAAAGTTTTCAAAGTGTGAGTTTTGGTTATCTGAAGTGGCATTCCTCGGACACGTGGTTTCGGTAAAGGGCATTCGGGTAGACCCACAAAAAGTTAGAGTTGTATTAGAATGAGAGATTCTGAAAAAATGTGTCGGAAGTTCGAAGTTTCTTGGGTATCGCAGGTTATTATCGGAGGTTTATCAAAACCTTTTCGATGATATCTTTACCTTTAACCAAATTATTAAGAAATGACATACATTTTAAATGGACTCCTGATTGCCAGAAAAACTTTGAAACATTGAAGAAAGTTTTGATTGAAGCTCCGGTATTAGTGCAACCGGAATCAAACAAGGATTTCACAATTTTTAGCGACGCGACCCATAATAGTTTGGGATGTGTCTTAATGAAAGATGGAAAGGTAATTGCTTATGCCTCGAGACAGCTGAAGCCTCATGAAAAGAATTATTCGACGCATGATCTGGAGTTAGCAGCTGTGGTCTTTGCATTAAAAATTTGGCGGCACTATTTGTATGTCAAACGTTGCTACATCATCACTGATCATAAGAGCTTGAAGTATTTGTTGAGTTAAATTTAAGGCAAAGAAGATGGATGGAGTTGTTGAAGGACTATGATGCGATCATTGACTATTATCCAGGGAAAGCCAATGTCGTAGCGGATGCTCTTAGTCGGAAGACTTTTACCACTTTACATAGTTTGAATGCCCGATTGATGGTAAAAGAAAATGGTGCATTGATGGTTGAATTAAGGTTGAAACCAGTGTTGTTGGATCAAATCCAGGAGTTATAATAGAAAGATGATAAGTGTTTAGCTTGGTTTGATCGAGTAGAGAAATGTGGACTTGGAAACTTTAAAGTTAAGTCAAACGGATGCTTATATTTCAAGAATCGTGTGTATGTCCCTAATGACTATGAACTGAAACGAGATATTTTGTATGAAGCACATTGTAGTCCCTTAACGATGCACCTAGGAGGGAACAAAATGTATCAAGATTTGAAAGAGCGTTATTAGTGGCTTGGTATGAAGAAAGATATTACAGAATTTGTAGCAAAGTGTTTAAATTGTCAACAAGTGAAAGTTGAGTATCAGGTGCCTTCCGGTTTGTTGCAATCCATCTCAATTTCGCAGTGGAAATGAGAAAACATTACGATGGACTTCATAACGGGTTTGCCTTTATAGTCGGGTAAAAAGGATTCGATTTGGGTAATTGTGGATCATATTACCAAGACAGTGCATTTCATCCCGGTGCGGACAGATTTCTTTATGGAGAAACACGTAGAATTATATATCAAAGAGATAGTGCGACTTCATGGCATTCTAATTTCGATAGTTTCTGATAGAGATCCCAGATTCACTTCGAGATTCTGGAAGTCTTTTCAAGGAGCTTTGGGTACTCGATTGAATTTCAGTACCGTATTTTATCCTCAGACTGATGGGCAATCTAATAGAACAATTCAGATTTTGGAAGATATGTTGAGAGCGTGTGTGATCGATTTTTCTGGATTGTGGGAAATATATTTGCCTCTTGTGGAGTTTGCATCTAATAATAGCTACCAATCCAGCATAAAAATGGCACCTTATGAAGCGTTATATGGAAGAAAGTACAGAACACCCCTCAATTAGTACGAGTTAAAAGATCGGAAAGTTCATGGTCCAGATTTGATCAAAGAAGTGGAAGAAAAAGTTCAAGTGATTCAGCATAATTTGAAAGTTACCTCGGACAGACAAATGTCATACGCCAATCTGAAAAGAAAAGAGATTGAATTTCAAGAGGGCGATAATGTGTTTTTGAAGGTATCACCTTGGAAGAAAGTGCTTCGATTTGGGCATAAAGGAAAAATGAGTCCTAGGTTCATTGAACCTTATGAAGTTTTGAAGAAAATTGGACCAGTGGCCTATAAGTTAGCGTTGCCGCCAGAAATGGAAAAGATCCATAATGCCTTCCATGTGTTCATGCTTTGGCAGTACCGATCTGATCATGCTCATATCATAACTCCATATGAAATTGAAGTTCAATCCGATTTGTCTAATGAGGAAGAACCTGTTCAGATTTTAGCTTTTGAAACCAAGCAGTTGCGGAATAAGATGATTCTGTTAGTTAAGGTTCTGTGGAGAAATCATAAAGTGGAAGAAGATACGTGGGAGCGTGAGGAAGATATGAGGGAACAATATCCCCACCTTTTTGCGCAATGAAAATTCGAGGATGAATTTTCTTAAGGGGGAGATTTGTAACATCCCAAATATTGGGTTAGGGACCAAAATGTAAGAGCTTTAAAATTCAGTGGTTGAATTAGAATAATGTGATAATTCAGTGATTTATGGAAGAATTTTGTGTTGGGTAATATAGTAAATATGGATAATTAACAAGGGCAAATTGGTAAATTGTAGGGTAAGGATATCTTAGGACATATTGGAGTAAAAGAGGGAGAAGTGTCTGGAAACATTTCATTTATTTCTTCTTCTACGTTAGCTCCCTCTTCAAAGGTAAGAAGTTGGATTTTGTAGTTTTACTTTAATTTTTTGTTTAGTAATGGAAGTTTGGATGGTATATAAGCCTAAGGAAAGCTTATGTAGCATTAAAAAACAATATGAGTGTTCTAGAGTTAGATTTGTAAAATGGGGTTTTAGATGAAATTTTGTTATAGATGAGTTTTTGAAGTTTAAATAAGATTTTTGACTTGTCAATAGGTTAATTAAAAGATTAGGAGTGATAGAATTGGGTAATAACATATTTGAATATTGAGTATGATTTGAAGATTCAAGTGTTTAAATGAGAGTTTGGGATGTTTAAGAGTTATAAATGTGTACAATTTGGTTTGAAGGTATAAATGTGAGTTTATAAACTCAAAGAATGTGTTTAAGAGAGTTTTTGGGTGGATTTTAAGGGATTTTCGAGTTGGAAATGGCCATTCTGGGCCTAGTGTATCAGTACCCTTAAGAGAGGTACCGATACTTCATGAGTTGAACATGCTTATTTGTATGAGTGTGTATTGGTGCACTGAGGAATGTATCAATACCCTCAAAACATCGAATGTCATTTGTGTGTCAGTACACTGAGGAGTGTATCGATACCCCCAAGTATGAAATGAAATATGGGTTCTTGTATATCAAGTTATTATGATTAAATATAATTGAGATGAGATCGATATTGATTCCAGGTTGTTTGTGTAGTGATCGAACGTAATTGACTTCTAGTCAGCTTGGTATTTTCGAGTATCAATTCAAAGAGATTGGGATTAAACCTTAGTGAGGCAAAGGTGAGTGCAACTTCTCTTTTCGTAATATAATTGAGGAAGGCTTGAGATAAGCCAACCTCAGTGTTTTCGATCGAAAAGCATATATTTATTTTATGTTTTATTTTATGTTTTATTTAAATGTTTTATTCAATTTCCCATTGTTACAAACTATGTATTATGACTATGTGTTATGAACATATGAACCTTTAAAATGTGAATATGAGCTTCGAACTAATAAATATGAATATATGCTATGACAGAGAAACTATGTGAATAAAAAACACTTTGAATAAGGATTGAACCTAAATATGTGATTAAAAGCCCAATGTATATATATGAGGATTAGAGGTATAGTTGGCATGCCAATAGTCGAGGGTCTATGTGGTCATTCGGGACAAATATGTGGTACTTCGGTGCAACCCTATGTGGCACTTCGGTGCAACCTATGTGGTCTTTCGGGACAATTATGTGGCACTTCGGTGTAAATTACGAGCTATGGTGACAACATTAGTGCACAACCTCATAGTACTCAAATACCTAGATTTCTCAATTGTATACCTTGGGCATTTGGAATAAAAACATACAAAGTATAATTATTCATAAGTATACCTTTGATATGAAAATTAAGAAAGCTCTTTGAAAAATAGTTTGAATAAAACAAATAAAATTTATGTTCATAAGTTAGCACTATTATTATTGCCTCACTAAGTCATCGACTTAGCGTGTGTTCTCTCATGCGTAGGTTTGAAGAAGGCTGACGATTGATCTGGGGTTGAGGATAACATACGTTTTTGAAGATCAAATCAGTACAAATTAAATGTAGGTTGTTGCTTATTTTGTAAACTGTTGGCATGTATTATATGTTTAATTTGAAATGCTCTGGTCGATTTTGTAAACCTATATATTTTATTTTTGTAAACTCTTACCTTTGAGGTTATCTATATAAATTATTAAGATATTTTGTGAAATGATTTCTGATTTAAAATGGTATTATTTTCTCTATATTGATTGGAATAATAAATTTTAAAATTTTACCTATTTGTCAATTTCGTATGTTTGGAAAGTCAAATGTTACTCCTCGGATTCGTATCTGGGTAGGGTACGGGTCAGGTAGTGTTACAGTCAGTGGTATAGTTTACCCTTTATTTTAAATAATTTATCTTTAAAATTTTAACTAATGTATAATTATATGTTGAGTCCTCTAGCATTTAAATTTTATAAATTAAATTAATGGGTCGTTAGTGGTACTCATCGCTGCTTGTCAAACACTATAGAATTTTCCTAAAAGTATAACTCAAACTAAATATTGCTATAGCATAATATTTATTAGACTTTATATATTTATTTTTTAGATTTATAATAATAATAATAATAATAATAATAATAATAATAAATATGGTTTCTCATGTTTTAGAAATGTTTTCAAATAATAATATATACAATATTCATAAATTTGAATAGTTTAAATTATAGTTTTAGTCATTGTGTTATAATCAATTTTAACATTTAATCACTATATGTTAATTTAGTATAAGTTAGGGGCTTTTTCTGCAACGTGACCAAAAGTCCAAGCATTCATCAATAGTTATTTTCTACTAATTAAGTAAATATTTTACTTCACACTTCTCAGCTGATTTAGAGTTCGTATTAAGATTAGTAGGGATAGAAGAGATTGTAAGCTTTAGTTGTGTCACAACCTTTGAAGGTGAGATAAATTGTTCTCTTTGATCATTGTATATTTCGTTTCTTTATTGGTTAAATTTTAGGATAAACTAAAGGAATGACCGCTAAACTATGATAAAAAATCACTTTGACAATCGATGTTTTATTTTGAACAAACAGGCCACTCAATTATTTAAATGGTTCATTTAAGCCACTCTTCGTTAATTTTTAACGGTGATGGTGACGTATCAATTAATAAAATAAAATAATTATGCATTTGGTCCTTAATACTTACGTATTCTATCAATTTAATCCCAATTTTAATTTAATTTAAAAACTCAACCCTATCCGGAAGTGTCAATTGTCAACATATTATTGTCACACATTTATAAGTGACACGTGTCACCACATGATTGAAAAATTATTTTTAATATTTTAATTGGATAATTTTACCCACCAACCAAGTGAGAACTCGTGTCACCACCTGTGTAAATAAAAACAAATTGTGAAATAGATGCTGCTAAGGAATTTTGATATTAGGGACCATTGGTGTCTCTGGACAAGCCTGAACCATTTGAGGTAAATGTTTGATTTGTTATTAAATTGCAAAGTCTTTTATATATTTTGTTTTAGATTATTTCACACTACAAATATATATTAAATTATTAGAACATATCTAATAAATAAATTATATTTTTCACACACACATATATAATTATAGTTAATACAATATTTATAAGGCTTAATATCAAAATAAGTGCCCAAACTATACTATTATTTTGAAATAGGTGTCTAACATTACAAACGTTACCACTTTAGGTATTCAGCCCATAACGATCACTAAAAAAACTCCGTTAAAAACACGTGTCACACTCAGGTAATTTTTAAAAAAATATTTAAAATAAAAATAATTAAAAATTTGTTATTATATTTATAAAAAAACTCTAATTTTTCTTAAAAATCCTAAATTCTTTGAAATTACAAAAAACCTCCAGTCCTATATCCCTTACCCAAAAAAACCCATAAAATTTCTAAACCCCCAAAACTTACCGACCACCCCTTGTCGGCCGTCCCCATCGGAGCCATCACCGCCCTTAAATCTCTAATGCAACAAATAAAAAAATACAACAAGTTTTGGTGGATAAAATGTAGCAAATACCCTTGTCGAGCAAACCTCAAAACTTGAATATTAGGATTTTAAGAATTTAAGTATTGGGGATTTTAAAGATTTAGGATTTAGGGATTTTGGAGCTTGGGGTGACAGAAAGGGTGGCGATCAATCACTGGGTGGATGGAGACGACTGGCTGATTGTTCATCGATGGTGACGACGATAAGGGCGTCGACGTGCGTCGATACAGGGATTAGAATAAAGGTTTTCAAAGTTTTGGGAAGTTTTTAAGATTTTTAAAAAATTTGGGGTTTTCTTAAAATATATATTTTTAAGTTTTTTTCTAAAAATAAAATTTTAACAATTATCATAATGTGACACGTGTCACTTAACGAGAAAAATTAACACTGTTGATGGCTCGGACACCTAAAGTGACAACATTTGTAATGATAGACACCTAAAGTGGTAACGTTTGTAACGTTAGGCACTTGGATGAACAAAAAAACAGTTTAAGCACCTATTTGAGAACAATTGTATAGTTTGGGTACTTATTTTGATATTAAGCCTATTTATAAATAAAAATGAATTTAATATTTTTATATTTTTAAGTTAAATTAATTTCTTTACAATTATTTTTAAATAATTATATGTGATTTATATTAAAAATAAAATTATATTAAAAATTCATTAGAGAATCCAAAGTCACAAAAATAACTTAAATCATAAAATAAATTTATAATATGAATCTTGTTATAAAATAATCTAAGTGAAGCAATAAGAAGGACAAAAATAACAAGAGATATGGGAATAAGAGAGAGAAATGTATTATTATCTCAATATGAGTTGTTTATAATGTTTTCTCTTAACTCCATATTTATAAGCATAACAAGTATATCTCATATAGAACTCTAACTCTAATTGATATTAAAGTCCTAATAATAAAGTATATCAAAACCCTATCTTATAGATAGAGATAGACATTCACATAAATAAATATTCATAACACTCCCCATTGGATGACTATGAAGATAATGTGTCTTGTTAAAAATCTTATTAAGATAAAACCATGTGGGGGAAAATCTTAATGAAGGAAAAGAGTACACATATCTTTAATATTTATAACATGTTGTCTCATTAAAAACTTACCAGGAAAACCCAATGGGACAAAACCTTGGTTAAGGAAAAA